CAAGTTTTCTTCCGCATATGTTTCTAAACGCTAGTTGTCTTCTGATTATTACACTTTGATTCCATTACTTCTATCATTTCTCTAGGCCAAATTATTTGGCCTTTTCCGACTCATTTTTGTCATCCCTGCTGGTCGCCTCATGGCACGCCTATTGCTGTCAGTCTACATCAAGATTTGCAACCGTGCAATGCCGACCACCTGACTATTCTACTTTCAGCCGTTCGGAGAAGGATTTTTTGGCTCAAACCTCTTCTTCTGGTTCCTTCCATATACCGTTAATGCAAAATTCTTCCGTCACTACTACCAAAACAAACACTGCCTATCTGGAAGAGCCTTCAGAGCAAACTGGTTGCATTCTTGCTCGCATGTTCCGATTGCTTACTCTTCTTGCATCTTCTGGCCAACTTCCTGGTCTTGGGCACACCAAAGCGGCCCCAGTCACATGTGGTAACCGACCACATGCTTCAAAGTTGAAGGACTGTGTGCAGCCTACGAAACCTGGCCTAGCTGATTTGCGGCCAAAGTCTTTTTTCATTTGCAATGGTCGTTTGAAATCACCCACCTCTTTCAGCCCAAATGCTACAAAACTTCACATCGATGATGAAGCTCAATCGCCTACAGACTGTCCATTTTGCCAGGCTCCGCTTGACTGTCGCTTGGGTAAGAGGCATGCAATTTGATTCTTGGTATGCGGTTCTTATCTTTTTTCCTCAAAGGGCAATTTTCATTATTTTATTTTCTAGACTACTTCACACCTTAGATGACGTATCCTATTATTTTCCTGCTCAGAAATTGGGCTTTGCTGGTATCCTATGTTTATTTCCCTTATTTTTGCAATGTCTTATCTTTTTATGGGACTATTTTTGAAAGATTTTTCATTTTCTCTGCCTTTTTGGACTTTACACATTTGTATTTTTCTCTCATATTTTGATATCATATACCCCAAATGTATATAGATTATGATAATCTTATTCTATTTGTTATTTACATCGTTTTATATGACATCATTTAAGGTAGAGCAACTAGTTACTTTCGAAGTAAAATCTAAATATAGCATTCATTGTAGATATAAAGACCAAGATGGAGTTGCCATCTGTTTGGTCCTAGTCTCCTTTAACTTTATAGTGTTGGTTCGACCTTGTTTTAGCAACTTGGTCGGAGCGTCAGGGAGACCTTGTGGTACGTACCTACTCCCGTGTCCTCTGCTATAGTATTCGTGATTCCCAGCATTGAACCATTGGCTAGGTATATTTCCGAACGGTTTGCGGGCATCGTCAGTGAGAGGTATCATCGTCAGCACAGAGTTACAACTGATCAAAGTTACAAGTGGAGGCAAACGGTTAAACAGGAAATTGGTCAAGTGGATTACCTTCACTTGTCATTTTGATCAGTCCTAACTGTATGCTAACGATGGCGCCTCTCATTGAGAATGTAGGCAAAACGTTTGGGAATGTACCAAATCAATGGTCCGATGCGGGAAATCATTAATATTATGGCAGAGGAGACAGGACTAGTTACGTCCTTGCTGTTCCGACCAAGTTACTAAAACGAGCTCGAATCAACCATTTAGGTTTTTAATATACTGACTTAATCATACCAAAGATATATTTACAAGTGGTTTAATCTCGATTTCGAAAATTGGTCGGATTGTCAGGGCAACCTCGATTAGCACTCCTTGTTCAAAGTACTCAAGCATAATAATCAGTAATTTCCAATATCATACATTTCCTGATGTTTCACAGGCGTCGTAGTCAGCATCGTCTTTGGAACTAATCAGCCTTAAAACCAAGCAAAAATTCGTCTGAGGCAATTTAGGTCTATCCCTAACCAACTTTCTCCTAAATGATTATGTCGTCTCCTCTCTTGGTACATCTGCCTACTCCATATGCTTATATCTATTCACTTTCTATCAGATCTTGTTTATATTGAACTACTTTAGAGGTGTGCCCTTTTGGACAGGTTTAATCAGACGTTATAAAAACTACCTCGTGTTTACTTTGTCCCCTCTTGGTGTGCCGGAATCATTGACCAGATTTGGACTTTTCATTTTGAATTCAATTCATATCCGATTCTCTCTTTTTCTCCCCAAATATGTTTCTGCTCTTACTGGTTGACTATACACACATTTGACTCAAGGCATTATTTCTCATAGTATTCCATAAGCGTTTGATAAAACGTATACTTTGGCCTCACCTAGTAAAGCTCCGGGGCATTAATTCCCAAGCTTGCTGATATCTTCTCGACAACACTGTGCTTCTTCTTAGTTCAGTTCAGCATGTGTTATGGCCTAATCTCATTGCTGAGCCTTGTCTTTATCTACTATATTTAT